CACCCCCTGTGAGTGGCTGGCTGAGATGCCATCTGTTGAGCAAGTACTGAAGGCGATCCGGAGTCTGAGACCAGGAAAGGCAGCGGGCAGAGATGATCTCCCAAGCGAAATGCTGAGGGAGGGTGGCGTTTGTGCACAGATTGCCCTATATGACATCATAACAACAGTCTGGACCACTGGACGGGTTCCGCAGGATTGGAAGGATGCACTGGTGGTCCCCCTCTTTAAGAAGGGGGACCGCACAGACTGTAACAACTACAGGGGCATCTCACTCCTCAGTGTGCCGGGAAAGGTCCTGGCAAGGATTATTCAACATCGCCTTGCCAGGCACGCCGAGGAGAGGCTTGCAGAGCCCCAATGCGGTTTCAGGAAAGGGCGGTCCTGCACAGATGCCATATTTTCTGTCCGTCTGCTACAGCAGAGATGTAGGGAATTCCAGCAAGACCTACATCTCTGCTTTATTGACCTGGTCAAGGCCTGGGCTCTGGGTTGTTCTTCGTGCTTTTGGAGTACCTGACCCTCTGCTCACGATCATTAAGGACCTTCATGATGGTGAGCGGGCCCGGGTAAAACTACGTGGCCGGGAGTCAGAGCTATTCCCTGAACACCTTGGGGTGCGACAGGGATGTCCTCTGGCTCCCACATTATTTAACATCTATTTTGACCACGTAGTTCGTGAAGCCTTCAATAGCTGTACCGGGGGAATCTCCATTTGGTACAGATATAATAGGAGGCTGATCGATGCCCGGGTGCGGTCAAGGGATGGCTCCCTATTGCTCAACCACGTTATGTATGCCGATGATTTGGTAATAGCTGCTCATTCAGAGGAGGAGTTGGAGACGCTGCTGCTGAAACTGGAGCGTGCCACTAAGAGATGGGGCCTTACCATCAGCCCCACCAAAACTAAGCACCTGCCTGGGTATTTTGTACCATCGGACACTCCACCCCCACAACCCCCAGTCGGTGATGGGGCAGTTGTGGAGAGAGTGGAGAGATTCCCTTACCTGGGCAGTGTGCTTATGACCGGCTCCAGTTTAACAGCAGAGGTCTCACTCAGAATCAGTCGAGCGGCAATATCTTTTCGTTTGCGTAACGCTGTGGAAGCTACCTGGTCTGTCGCTCCGCACTAAGCTTTGGGTCTTCTTGGCCACGGTCATTCCCTCCCTTCTCTACGCTTGCGAAACGTGGACCCCCCTAATGGAACATCTTCGCCGGTTAGAAACATTTAGGCTAGCTTGCCTACGATCCATCCTGGGTTTAACCAGGCTGGATTGTGTGAGGAGCTCACAAATCCTTGAAAGATCTGGGCAAGGTCGAATCGGTGAGCTCCTCCGGCAGGCAACGCTGCGTTGGCTGGGTCATGTAGCCCGCATGCCAAGCCACCGCATGCCGAAACAGCTTTTGTTCGGCCGGATCGAGGGGGCTAAACGGGCGCGGCACGGGCTAGAGAAGAGATGGAGTGATGTGGTACAGGAGGACGTGGAGCTGAGTGGACTTGCCGATGACTTGTATCGGCGGTGTCAAGATCGGCCTCTGTGGAGGAGGCTCGTGAAGGACGCTACTGAGCAGTTGGAGGCAGTCGCCCTCCAACAACAACGGAGGGCGGAGGAGCAACGCTCACAACAACGAGCGGAGCGCCGGGTGGCTAAAGCACAGCAGGTTGGCACAGTAAGGGGCACAGGTGGTGCATCAGCCAGTCATCTCAGTCAGTCGACCCGTGGCACCTGGGTCTGCCCCGTGACCTCCTGCCAGCGGGCGTTCGACACTTCACGTGGCCTCAAGGTGCACATGGCCTGGCACAAGCGTCGTGGTGACATCACCGCCACTTAGTGGCGAATGGCAGTTGTTGTGTTAGTGCGTGTGAGTGCGAGTATGTCAGTGTGTGTGAGTGCATGCATGTGTCTGTGAGTGTGTGAGTGTGGCTTTATGCTTTCTGTCTGCGTAGTTGTTTTACGCTTTGCAGTGCTGAACCTACGACCATCACCACCACCACCATCACCGCCATCACCACCATCACCGCCATCACCACCATCACCGCCGCCATCACCACAGTCACCACCAGACACCGAAGCGCATGCGTGACCGTGACGAGACGAGGCGTCTGAATGAAGCCGCGGGGTAGACGGAGGAGGTCCACTCCCTTGGCTAGATGGAGTGACTTCACCGACTGGCTGAGCTGATAATATAAGGGGGGGGGGCGGGTGGAACAGCGCCCTTCACGCCGCCGCCGTCGATGGTCGGGAGTCTCGGACTCCGTCTCCGGCCGCTCCAGCCGAGCGAACGAGGCCAAGGGGGGTGGCAACCGAGGGGCCTCGGGCTCGAGACTCGGGGCGGGGGCGGCCCCCGCAGGCCGTACGGCCCCGGCCAGGCCGGCAGCGCGCGGCCGGCCCGGTGACGCGTCCTCCGTGTGTGCCAGGTGGACGACGAGGACGCCATCCTCCCGCCCAAGCTGCAGGCCGCGCTGCAGGCCGCGCTCGAGGCACGGCTCGAGCTGGGAGGCCCCGGTACGAACCTCCCCCGCCGCCCTCCCCCCTCCTGCTACCGCTCCTCCCCCCTCCTCAACCTCCTCTTCCGCCGGTCGCTTTGGGCGGCTGCGTCTTCTCCACAGAGTGCACGCAGACAGGGGGCGACTCGAGTGTGCGGGGGGGTGAGCGGGCCAGGGGGTGAGCGGGTCGGGGGGTGAGCGGGTCAGGGGGTGAGCGGGTCAGGGGGTGAGCGGGTCAGGTGGCGTGGGTAGCGGTAGTGGAGCGGCGACCCGAGTCTGATTCCCGCTCACGGCCAACACCGGTGACGGTCGTCCGAGGCCTCCCCGAGATGGACTCGGCCTCGAGTGAGTGTGAACATCACGGCTGGGAAGACAAAGGCAGCCGAGCGTGGTGCTGGCCACTCGCCCACTCGTGTGCCATGCTCTCTAAGATCACTTGCCCCAGTAACCTGTGCGGGCCTGCACGGGGGGGGGGACCCTTGTCCGTGTCTGCGTGCGCGTGGCAGACGTGTCCCAGAACTCGCTCGTCTCCGAGGTGTTCATCCGCTTCTTCGTGGAGGCCGTGGGCCACTTGCCCCTCTTCATGGCTCCTCCGTCGGTCGTCACCCCCACCTCGTCGACGTCGCCGTTCTCCTCGTTCCGCCGGGAGGACTTTGTCCGAGCGGCCGCCTCCAAGACGCACCGCCGCTTCCTGGAGCTCTTCACGCACACACAGATGTTCTCCTGCTTCGTGCAGGAGCGAGCACAGCGCCAGCGCGGGGCCCGGGGTGAGCGCGCCGCGGGGGAGTGGTGGGGAGTGTGTGTGTACGTGGTGTTACGTGTGTGTATGTGTGCGTGAATGTGTGAGCGAGTGGGAAGAGCGGTGGCGCAGCGGTTAGCGCGCTGCGCTACTAACCTAGCGACCCCGAGTTCGTTTCCCGCTCACGGCCAACACCGGTGACGATTGTCTGAACCGGTCCTGGGCCTCCCCTAGGTTGACTCAGCCTCAAATGAGTACCTGGTGCGGTGTGTAAACATCGCCACTGGGGAGACAAAGTCGGCCGGGCGTGGTGCTGGCCACCCACCCCCTCGTGTGCCGTGCCGGCCTTCACAGGTGCTCGCTAACAGCACTTGCCCCTACAGTCTGTGAAGGCTATATGGGGGATCTTTGTCTTTGTGCATCCCCAGACTTGTTTGACGCGCGCGTCATTCCCTTCCTGGAGGAGGTGGCGGCCGACGCTGAGGCCGAGAGCGGCGTCAACAAGTTTCTGCGTAGTCTCGGTGAGAACGCCAAGCAGCGCAACATCGTCACCATCGCCGTCACCATCACCGTCATCATCGCCGTCACCATCACCGTCATCATCGTCACCATCACCGTCATCATCGTCACCATCGTCACCATCGTCGCCATCACTGTCACAGTCACAGTCACCGTCACCATCACCATCGAAACCATCACAATCAGCAGCATCATCATAATAAGCGTCATCGTTACCATTATCGGCGTGATTATTGTCGCCATCACCATTATCATCATCACCATCACTCTTATCATCGTCACCATCATTACCATAATTATCATCAACCTCATTATCATCACCATCGGCAGCGTCATCGTCGTCAGCAGCAGCAGCTGTGGCCATCCACTGCGCAATTAATGACTTCCCTTAGTCGCGATTGTCCTTCACGGTGTCACGATTGGAAGGTCGCGAGTTCAACTCCAGGTTTTGCCCATTATCTTTCCGCGGTCGTCCTCGCCATAAGAATGTGGAATTCCACCACCGGCTCAGACGCACCAATGCCTGAGTGCGTCACGTGAGCAGGAAAGCACTTTGACTTGACCATCAATTTCCCGAACGTATTCCTTGAATCGAATAAATGTCCCACGTGCTTGAAGCCAGAGTTGTGAACGGCCGCTGTGAACCTTCCTCCCTCCCTCTCCTCGCCAGGAAACATCGTCAACTTCCCCCTCAAGCTGCTGCCCCGCTGACCTCTGACCTGGATGTGACCTCCGACCTGGATGTGACCTCCGACCTCGGGGCCGTCCCGACTCCCCCCCCCACCTCCTCCACAGGTCGCTCAGGATGAATGAACCCTGTGGCACTTTTCCCTGCGCCCGGTGTCGCCCCTGAGCCCCCTGAGCCCCCTAAACCCCCCTCCTTGTTCTCAGTATTTTTTGACTCATGTCACTTTGCACAACTCTCCCGCTAAGGGGACGACGACGCTGCCACCCCCCTCCCCCCAGGCGGCTGTCGTCCGCGGTTCGCTCGCCGCAGGAAAACTTTTTGATACGAAGCGCTGTTGAATTCATCCAAAAGTTTATTTAAATAAAAAATAACATCGTTCCACTCGGCGCGTCATTTCGTGCATGCGAGTGTGCGAGTGTGCGAGTGTGTGAGTGTGTACGTGTGTGTGAGTGTGTACGTGTGTGTGTGTGTGTACGTGTGTGTGTGTACGTGTGTGTGAGTGAGTGTGTGTGCGTGTGAATGTGTGTGTGCGTGTGAATGTGTGTGAGTGTGCGTGTGTGCGAGCGTGTTAGTATATGTGTGAGTGAGTGTGCGTGTGTGAATGTGCGAGCGTGTTAGTGTATGTATGAGTGAGTGCGTGTGAGTGTGCGTGTGTGAGTGTGCGTGTGTGCGAGCGCCGGTGGGAGTTGCCGGGGGCCGTCCGTCGCTTTGGGGTTGACAAACGACGACCGCCGCACCGAATCTGCAAATGAGAAGTGTGACCCCTTCGCCGGGACGGAGGAGGGGCCGTGGAGGGGGGAGTGGGGAACCACGAATTTCAAACATCACGCAGCCAGCACGTAGACTGGCATCGCAGTGGTGCAAGTCGACATGGGAGCAGAGGCAGGTCGAGGAGCAATCGGAAAGCAGTGCGAAAAACAGCAAACTACCAAAGAGCAATCGGAGCAAAAGCAACCGCGTTACAGCATAATGTGTGAGTGTGCACGTTACAGCAGAATGTGTGAGTGTGCACGTTACAGCAGAATGTGTGAGTGTGCACGTTACAGCAGAATGTGTGAGTGTGCACGTTACAGCAGAATGTGTGAGTGTGCACGTTACAGCAGAAATTGAAAACAATGCACACACGAACATCATTTACTGGAAACGAAAGTTGGCTCGGGCAAATTTTCTTTACAAAATCAAGCTACAGAAATAATGAACGCGGATCTATGACGACGATTGCACTGGTGTACAAACACACACACAAGGGCGTGCGTCAAATACAACATTACCTGCATTCACCACAGCACAGACGCCTCGACCACAACCACATCGCCTGTGTCCTCGTGCTGCGGGAGCGGCCCGCGAGATCCCGAGTTTCGTCACCCGTCTCGTGTCCTTGCTTGCAGCGCCATCTGCTGGGTGGAAAGTGGGTGGATAAGTTAGTCGGTAGGTGTGTCGGTGAGTGGTGAGTGCGCGGGTAGGTGGGTAAGTGGCTGGATAAGTGAGTGAGTGGGTAGGTGGGTGAGTGTGTTGTGGGGAGCGGTAGTGTAGCGGTTAGCGCGCTGCGCTACGAACCTGGCGACCAGGGTTCGATTCCCGCTCACGCCCAACACCAGTGACGATTATCTGAACCGGTCCTGGACCTCCCCTAGGTCGACTCAGCTTCAAATGAATACCTAGGGAGACAAAGGCGACCGGTCGTGGTGATGGCCACCCACCCCCTCGTGTGCCGTGCCAGCCTTTATAGGTGCTCGCTAACAGCACTTGCTCCTACAGTATGTTAAGGCTATACTGGGGGATCTTTGTTTGTGATGGGTGGGTGAGTGGTTTGGTAGATGAGTGTGGGTGGGTGAATGAGTGGGTACGCGATTTGGGTGGGTGAGTGCGTGGGTAGATGGATGAGAGAGTGGATGAATGGGGATGTGGGTGGCCGATCGGGTTGCCGCCTGACCTGGTTTTTCATGATCGTTTAAAGAGTTGATGCCCACGGCAGCCACTAAGGGGCGCTCATCCGCCAGCGTTACCCTTTAATGGCAGCGCTCAGTTGGGACTCGTGAAGAACAGACAGGGTCCTTGATATAAACATGTGACAATCAGCTGCTGATGAGACACTGAATGTCGAAACCGGCCCATTGTTTTCTTCTTTTAAAGCGATGCTACTGAAACCAGGGAATGTGTATAACTTTTTAGTTTTCCACATGGTGACGCTACTGCTGCTGCCGACTGCGTTGCCCGTGGCGGTGCACAAACACAACACAGGCAACAACACAGTCAACACACAACAACACAGCTCAGCACGTTCGTCAACAACAACGACGACACCACGTGCGATGTCGTGCTCTGAAGGAGTAAAAATCAATCGGTGACCTTGCGAGCTACGCGGCCCTTCCCGTGTGACCACGCGCGCACAGGTGAGAACTCGTCTCGAGCACGGCCGTTTCATCCCCACCGTGGAGAGGCCTCCCGACCTCGCCAAGGAGCCACTCCACGACACTGAGGACCCCTGATGGGTGCCGCTCGGGGTGGGGAGGAGGGCGGCGGGAGACTTCGCAGTTTTAACTTGGGCCCCCACACACACACCGTGATGTGTGGGATGAATGATGGGGTTGGTAAAAGTGCGAGCGCCCTCGTCGCCGTTTGAAGCTCGCTGCAGGAATGCTGCGCCCGTTGGCAGCTCGTGAATGTGGGGGACTTGACGAGCGGATGGCGACGGTTGGCGAATCAACATCTGTGGAGTCGCGGTCTCCATTGAGACCTCGGCAAGCCGATGAGCTGTAACGCTGGTTTTTTTTTCACAGACGGCGGATCAGTGTCACACAGTGTCACACAGTCTTCACGCCGGATGATTCCGTCGCTCCATCTCCGCGGCGCACGTCCCGTTCCGATGACGGCCGCCGCAAGCCATTGTGTTGCCAAGTGTGGAGCACGGGGCGACACAAGGCGTTGTGTAGAGTCTTAACACACGCACGGACACACGCGCACATGCACACAGAGGAGACATGCCCATACATTGCCATCGCTACACATGCAGACCCACACGTACAGACACAAAGATTCCTCCTATAGCCTTTAACAGACGGTTAGGGAAAGTGCTGTTAGCGAGCACCTATTAAGTCAGACACTTACGGTCTCTTTCCCAATTCAGTAAACGTGCGTTTTAAAATGTCCATCATCAGCCATGACCAATCCACTGCTGGATGAAGGCCTCCTCTCACGATCAATCCGCCCACCACCACCTGCGCACGAGCCAAAATCGTCGCTCCATCTCCGCGGTAGTCGACCTCTCGGGCGTGCTTCTGTTGTTGTTGTTGCTGCTGCTTGGGCTGCCGCTCCGTCGCGAGTCTCGACCGCCGCCTCGTCTCGCCGCCACGTGGGCCCACTCGAGCCCCACTCGATGTGTCTTCACGGTCACTGTGACGTCCCCAGCGTGCGTGCTCTCGTCCACGTGGCCCTCCTCCTGCCTCTCGGCTTCGTTGCAGGGAGGCGCCTCTCTCTCGTGCTTGTTGTCGCAACTTTTCATCTTTTTGTTTAAAATTTTCTTTGTCCCAACAGTAATTGCCCAAACATTCCAGACGACTTGTCAGTGTTCCAATTAGTCGAGTACGTGCAGTTTCATGCGACCAAATCTCCCAGAATGCGCCTAAATCACCCAGAATGCGTCTAAATCACCCAGAATGCGTCTAAATCACCCAGAATGCGTCTAAATCACCCAGAATGCGTCTAAATCACCCAGAATGCGTCTAAATCACCCAGAATGCGTCTAAATCACCCAGAATGCGTCTAAATCACCCAGAATGCGCCTAAATCATCCAGAATGCGCCTAAATCACCCAGAATGCGCCTAAATCACCCAGAATGCGCCTAAATCACCCAGAATGCGCCTAAATCACCCAGAATGCGCCTAAATCACCCAGAATGCGCCTAAATTACCCAGAATGCGCCTAAATCACCCAGAATGCGCCTAAATCACCCAGAATGCGCCTAAATTACCCAGAATGCGCCTAAATCACCCAGAATGTGCCTAAATCACCCAGAATGCGCCTAAATTACCCAGAATGCGCCTAAATCACCCAGAATGCGCCCCATTTCGCTTGTGTCTCGGGAGCTAAGCACGGCTTGAGCCTGGTGAGCACTTGGATGGGAGACTGCCGGGGAACAGCAGGGGTAGTCGCCTCAGGCTGCGAGGTGACCAGCAGACGGCAGTGACGCCGTAGAATCCTCAATCCATCTGTGCTGGGTTTTCACTGAGGTGTTCTGGTTTCCTCCCACACGAAGCCAGACATTTCACGGGAATTCACGGCCAAACACCCCAACGTAGCAGCAGCCTGGGTCAATACGCCACCTTATTGAGATTTTTCGTTATGAGATGGAGCGGTGGTGCTGCAGTGGGCCCACTGCGCTCCGAACCCGGCGGCTTGACCTCGGCCCGGAACCACGGCTAACGTCAGTGGCGAGTGGTATCGGAAAAGCTTTCTGCCCTACCGGTAGGATTTTCAAGGCAAATGTATATAAGTAACTGGCATTGAACAGCGTGGTGAAGTATGGTCAAACAATCCCCGTGACTGACACGGCAGCGTCAAAAATATTCATCCAGCAGTGGATTGACAACATGGTGCGAGTTGTTATTTTAACGACCTCTGTTCTAACCCTTGCGATGGTGTCGGCAGTAACAATTTTACCACCAGTCGACACTGCCTTTATGCCTTTGCCGAGTAAACCACTTAGATAACTTCCGTATATCAGTGGTATTGCTCTTCACTCTCACTGCCGTACCGATACACACACACACAACCACAGCCCCTGTGTCCACACACAACCAGAACCACAGCCCCTGTGTCCACACACAACCAGAACCACAGCGCCTGTGTCCACACACAACCAGAACCACAGCCCCTGTCCACACACAACCAGAACCACAACCCCTGTCTCCACACACAACCAGAACCACAGCCCCTGTCTCTACACACAACCAGAACCACAGCCCCTGTGTCCACACACAACCAGAACCACAGCCCCTGTGTCCACACACAACCAGAACCACAGCCCCTGTCTCTACACACGACCAGAACCACAGCCCCTCTCTCCACACACAACCAGAACCACAGCCCCTCTCTCCACACACAACCAGAACCACAGCCCCTGTGTCCACACACAACCAGAACCACAGCCCCTGTCTCTACACACAACCAGAACCACAGCCCCTGTGTCCACACACAACCAGAACCACAGCCCCTGTCTCTACACACAACCAGAACCACAGCCCCTGTGTCCACACACAACCAGAACCACAGCCCCTGTGTCCACACACAACCAGAACCACAGCCCCTCTCTCCACACAGAACCAGAACCACAGCCCCTGTGTCCACACACAACCAGAACCACAGCCCCTGTGTCCACACACAACCAGAACCACAGCCCCTGTGTCCACACACAACCAGAACCACAGCCCCTCTCTCTACACACCACCAGAACCACAGCCCCTCTCAACACATACAACCAGAACCACAGCCCCTGTCTCTACACACAACCAGAACCACAGCCCCTCTCCCCACACACAACCAGAACCACAGCCCCTGTGTCCACACACAACCAGAACCACAGCCCCTGTGTCCACACACAACCAGAACCACAGCCCCTGTCTCTACACACAACCAGAACCACAGCCCCTGTCTCTACACACAACCAGAACCACAGCCCCTGTGTCCACACACAACCAGAACCACAGCCCCTGTCTCTACACACAACCAGAACCACAGCCCCTGTGTCCACACACAACCAGAACCACAGCCCCTGTCTCCACACACAACCAGAACCACAGCCCCTCTCTCCACACACAACCAGAACCACAGCCCCTCTCTCCACACACAACCAGAACCACAGCCCCTCTCTCCACGCACAACCAGAACCACAGCCCCTCTCTCTACACACAACCAGAACCACAGCCCCTCTCTCCACACACAACCAGAACCACAGCCCCTGTCTCCACACACAACCAGAACCACAGCCCCTGTCTCTACACACAACCAGAACCACAGCCCCTGTGTCCACACACAACCAGAACCACAGCCCCTGTCTCCACACACAACCAGAACCACAGCCCCTGTGTCCACACACAACCAGAACCACAGCCCCTGTCTCTACACACAACCAGAACCACAGCCCCTGTGTCCACACACAACCAGAACCACAGCCCCTCTCTCCACACAACCAGAACCACAGCCCCTCTCTCTACACACAACCAGAACCACAGCCCCTGTGTCCACACACAACCAGAACCACAGCCCCTGTGTCCACACACAACCAGAACCACAGCCCCTGTCTCTACACACACAACCAGAACCACAGCCCCTCTCTCCACGCGTCAATCCATCAGCCCCGCGGCTTTCCAGACCTCGAGATATTTGGCAGCAGCGTTTGTTGAGCAAGCCCGACTCTGCTGGTGATACCCAGAAGGTCGCGTTTGTAGCAAGTAAACTTTACATCTTCATATTACCCAGCAGCGGCATCTATTTAAGCAAGGAAACTGGATAGGATTCGACGATCTGGGTCTCATCAGCAGATCCATGCTTGTCAGGCAAAATACTGCTGGATTGACAAATGTTATTGGCTGTGTTGAA